AGTGCGGGTGTGCACGTGGCTTGGCAGCTAGAGAGCAGTGCCCGGTTCTCAGCCAGGGCAATGGAAGATGTCTTTTCTGCTGTGTTTGGGAAGGGATTTTTTTCCACCCTCTATGCTACATGGTTTTGCTTTCATTCTTATGAAATGAAATATCTGAGATTTGCATCTGGTTGAAAGCATGCAGGTGAATTTTGCCATTTTTCCCAGTGAAGTGCCTGGGAGGGTGATTCAGTCTGCTGGATCACCTCTCCAAACCCGCCCATGAGCCCAGCTTCCCATCTCCTTCTGCTGGGGTCCACCGTCCTCCTGGGGAAGGGGTTCCCCCCCACCCTGTCTCACCTGAACCCCCCAGGGCTGCCCTTTGTGGCTGGTGCCCCATGTGCTACTGCCTTCTTGGATGGAGTGTGGTGCCGTCCTGTTTGCAGCTCCCCTGCAGGAGGATGCAGGAGTGTGATTCTGGCTCTGCAGGGCATTGCTGCTTGAGTTTTCCCAACACTTCTAGTATTTGTGGTCCAGGGAGGCTGGAGCAGCCTCTGGATTTATTATAGCATCAGGCTGAGGAGATTCTGGGCTTTCCATGCGAGGGTCCTCTCGTTGGGTCAGCAGGATGAGCACGGGGGGAGGACGCATGCTGGCAGCCTTGCATGGCAAGAGGTTTAGCTGTTGTGGCAAGCGTGGCTGTTGGGAAGCAGGGGACGAGAAGATCACCGGGGCTGTGGGCCAGGTTCCTGAGGCTGGAGCGCTGCGCTGCCTCTGGCTTTTTGCAAGCATCACCTTTTGCTTCATGTGAGAAGCTGTTTCCTGTTTGTGCGCACCACGATGGCCCCCCGGCATCTGTGCCTGCACAGCACCTTTCCTGTGCACCTTCCCTTTGAGCAGAAGTGCTTCTGAGTGTCAGAGACGGGGGGCAGGAGGGGGTTGGCTTTTTGTGTGTGCGTGTCTCTCTCTTACCCTGCCACTGCCAGCTAAAACCTTCTTTTACAGTCTCTGAAGTGTTTGGATGTGATGCCATGCTTTTGTGTCTTTTGCAAGCTTCTAGCAGGTCCTAATTCATGTTTTCAAGGTTTTCTTTTGCTTAAAATGTATGGTGGAGGCTCATGAAGCTGGTCTGTTGGAGCTTTGTAACTCTGAACCCAAAAGGTGTCTGCCTACAAATCTCGGGCCGTATGGGTGACCAGAGTTGCAAGTCCACGTAGCTCTGTCATGCCTGGGCTCAATATGTAGTGGCTCCTATGTCAGGCAGTCACCTTGAACAGAAGTAGAAAAGACTGAGATGGAGTGAATCGAGCTGGAAGGTTTACCTAGTAAACACGGATAGGGATACACTTTTGGCCTGTGGGACAGCACTCACAGCAAACTTTGCACACTTTCTTGGCATCGGCAGATAATGTCCTGAGTCAGCATCCTTGGGAGACAACAGCCTTGAGGCTACTTGCTATCCAGGCAGTCACATTTCAGTCAAAATGATTTAAAATTAGCAACTGGAACTGTGACTCTGGTCACTGGTTGGAAAGCCTGTGTTTGCAGATTTGGCTTTGGCCTTGTCCTGCTTGGGAAGTGAACTGAAAGCATGGATTTGCAGTGGGTGGTATGTTGCTGTTGCTTTTTGTGAGCCACATGGCTTTATGAAGTCTAGTTTGTTTTAGGCATTCTGTATTTGAAAACAGTCTCTTTAGGTTTTTTACGTTTTCATATTTTTACTGACGCCAGCAAATGTATTAACTGGATGATTTGCATCAAGCCTGTCTGAAAAGCGGCTGCCTTGCTGAACAAGTACAGCACCGGTGCCTCAGGTATTCTCACTGACCTGTGCCTTGGCTGCATCCCTTGGGGCAGCATTTGCAAGAAGGTGTGCTGCCTTTAAAACTGATTTGATTAACTGGAGGTCGGAGCAGTACAGATCATTTCTCACCAGTGTCCTTCAGGACTCTGAAACTGTTAAACCTTAGTCTTCCGCAGCTGTTTTTTATCATAAACATGTTTTCCTCTCCGATCTTTTCTTTGCTGAAGTTCCAGCCTCCTGAAGGCAATCGAACAAGCGCTTGGGGGGCTGGCGGGTGCCAGCCTGCAAAAAGCCCTGCTTGCAATGTCCAAACGCTTGTGGCTATTCTTGGCTAGCTGGAGCCCACCAGCTGCCAGCAGATTTCCCCTGTAAATTTGCCTAAATGGCAAACTTTTGTTTCCTCCCTCTTACGCTGTGCGAGCGAGTGCAAGACATTAAGAGTCTTTGTTAAACCAAAAAGCATCCCCCAGGCTGATGGGTCTCGAAGTTGTTTCTTGGGAGCAGCAACTAGGAGCAGAGAGCGCAGCAACTGGGAGCAGAGATGGTGCAGCCCATCCTGGCAGGATGGGGCTCGCTCGGTGGGGCGGCAGCTGCCCGGCGCCTGGGAGCAGGACGGGCCCCACGAAGGGATGTGTTGCTTCCGCCCCGCTGCTTCCTGCAGCGTCCTGCCGGGTCGGTCCTGCTGCTGGCGGTGGGGTGCAAGCAAGGCAAGGAAAATAACGTCCCTGGGCACAGATGGCCAACCTAATCCCGTTTCCTGGCCGTGACCAGTGAACCATGCCCGGTGCAATGCCCTTTGCCGTTTTAAATGTACAAAAGTGTACCTTCATCCTGACTGTGAGTGCCGGTCTCCTAATGAAGGTGATGCTGGGGGGCAGCGGGATGGGCAGGCAGAAGCAGGCATGGGGGTGGGTTGAGGCCAGAAGTTTTTCTGGGAGCGGGCTCACCACCGTGGTGGGGAAGCAGTACCCAAATTCGGAGGAAACGATGCACTCTCCCCCGCTGCTTCGCTGCTTTGGTGCCTGCACCCTGCCTATCTCACTGGCATGGGGGTGGTTGTGCCTGGCCCCCAATCCTGCCACCACTGAGCCCCGGTGCTGGTCGTGCCACGGTATGTTCCTTCCTGCTCCAGTTCCTCCCATTCTTGCCTCTTCCTCCCACTGCATAGCGCCCTCTGAGCTCTCCCTGCAAGATGCGTTTCGACTGGAGAGGCTTCAGCCCTGGCCATGCAGCTGCAGGGCAGGCATCCGCAGGACCCAGCTTGCACCATGGGGCAGAGAGGCTAGGGAACCAGACAGGCACATCGTGGGGTGGAGCTGGGAGCTGCAGGAGTGCTGAGAGCATGGGCAGACTGATCCCAATGCCTGGAGTCTGAGAAATCACTGCCTTCTTGTGCGAGAGGGAAACATGCAAACTTGCCCATTTAACCTGTGCAAAATGCAGAGGTCAGGAGATCGCTTTGCATCCTGCCCATGATGCCACTTTGTGCAAGGTCTTGCCTCTGCTGTGCAGGCAGTGAATCAGGCAGCAAATCTTCCTCGCTGCCTCTGGGAGTACACTGACCACCTCTGCCTGTTTGGCCAGTCTCTTCCTTGTCCTCTCCAGCCTGAGCGAGCACAGGTTTGTGGAGCAGCACAACTGAACTAAAGTAGCTTCTAGATGAATAACCAGGGAATGAGCTGTGGCCTGGAGCATTATTTCTGCATGTTTAGTGGTCACATGTTGGGGTCCGCACAAGGTTGAGTGTGATGGCCACTGTCTTGTAGAGCTCTAAAAATCACTTGTTCCCCCTCTCAAGGGGCTCCCTAAGTGCAGTGTACCCACCATAGGCATGTGCACACAGAAGTGTGCACGCTGTGCCTGCCCTCGCAGGGGCCTGGGGGACTCTTCAGCAAATCCAAAGAGGAGATGGTAGCTCTAAGACACGTGTGTGAGTGCGTGCATGCCAACACATGCATGTGTTCACACCCAGATGGAGAAGAGGGGAAGGGTACAGCAGCCAAATCTTCAAGGAGTGATCCCCAGCCTAGTGTTTACGGTGAAGACCTTCTGCTTTATGTGCAGGAGTCTCGGCATCCTCACCTGCTGCAGAGGTTCTAGTGGGAGCCAAGTGTGTGTGGAAAGCCCAGTTTATTAGCTGGCCATTGCAGGGAGCAGAATGTGGCAGCAAGGGAGATCCTTCTACAGGCAGCTACTGCACTTGTTAGGTTTTTGCAGCAAGTCTGTTCGTCAGGTCTGGAGCAGCTGGAAGCAAATACTGCAGAAAGACCGGCCTGGACATTAAGAGAGGGCATCCACAAAAGGGCTGTGGTCAGTGATGCTGTGTTTAGCCCTGGACCCGCATACAGCTGTATGGGAGGGACTGCTTTGGGAGTTGGTGTGGCAGAGCAGAGAAGCCCTGGCAAGCAAAGAGCACTCATGCAGGTGCGTAAGTCTTGCAAAGTAGGTCTCATTGTCCGTATCGGTGCCGGGGGCTGTCACTGCCCTCTCCTCCTGAGCTCTGCCTTGAGCAGCTCAGAGGCTGCCATCCTCTCTGAGGTGCCAGGGTGGCTTCTCAGTTTTACACACCAGTTTTGGCACAGATGATTTTGGTGGTTTCAAAACCTGCCGCTGTTGAAACCATGCGCAGGAATTGCCAACCTGCATGCAAATCTAGATATGTTTTTTTTAGCAGTTCTAATACAGGACTTCTAATAAATAATGGGCATGCCTACAGAACACTGAAAGCATAAGAAAGAAAACAAGAAAGGGGCTTTTGTTCAGTTTGCATGTGGCTAGCCTTGGCTTAAGTAACTACGTCAGTAGGAGAGCAGGCCTATTTTTTAAGTGCTCGACTCTCATGCGGTGCGAGGTGGGTGAGAGCGCAGAGGGCAATCCTCTTCTCTAGGCTGATTTCGTTGTGCATGTTCCAGTGGGAGCAGAGCCGTTGGTTTGCCATGCGGATAGTAGGATTTTCAAGATTCGTTTGGCGTCAGCAACTTGGTTGGGGTCTGGTACCAAGAGGTTACAGGTTTGCGGGTTTGCTCTGAATGGTGTTGTGTGGTTACTTTGGGTATGGTTGGTCCAAGCTTCAACACCTCCATGCACCACTGGAATTTTGTTTGGATCCAAACCTTTGTTTTTTAAGAACAGAACAAAACAAAAAACAAGTGTGTGTAAAGAATGCATGCTCAGAGAAATAGATTGTGTGTGCTAACTCGCTTTGTGCTGTGCCTCTCTTCCAGTTGGTGCACTGCGTGTCGAGTTTTCCCAGCCTGTGAACCTGGAAGAAGTGGCAAGAATAAACCCAGAGGTCAAAGCAGGAGGTCATTTTGCTCCAAAGGACTGTGTAGCACTTCAGAAAGTAGCAATAATCATACCGTTCAGGAACCGAGAGGAACACCTGAAGTACTGGCTCTATTACCTGCACCCAATTCTCCAAAGGCAGCAACTAGATTATGGAGTATATGTTATCAACCAGGTAAGATGCTAAAGACACAAGGCTTTCTACTGCTGTCGTAACAGTGCCCGTGTTCCCTAAAACCGAGGAGTGGTTGCTTTATCGTGAACAGCAGTGGGCTGGCAGGCAGGGATAAGGTTGCTTTTTTAAAAAGGGGAAAAAAAAGGCTGTAGCACCAAAAAAAAAAGTGAAAATGAGCATGAGCAATTTTGCTTCGATGATTTCAATGGAAAACCTGAAGTCCCCTCTTCCAGTCAGGCATGATTCACTCTAAAGAGCTTCTGCTTAAAGAAACCACTTGGTAAGGAGGGAAAAAATCCCTGATAACACAACCCCATCTAATCTCTCTTTCCACATGTTCCTTTTTCCCAACTGCTGAAGGAATTGCATACAGAGATCTTTAATGTGACAAGGTAGCATTAATGTCTAATCTGGCATTCAGTGTGCCATAAAGTCGTAGGATTTCACTTACTTTCTCAAGCAACTTCCATTCATGTGCACAAAGCGTCAGGATGGAGAAAGCACAGCTGTGGCAGTGGAACAGGTGAGTGATTTGTCTTCAGGTGGATAGAACAGAAAAGAAACAAGTAGTGACAGGAGAGGTTTTGATGGGTTTTTTTCCTTGATATCTGATGGCCTTAGACCTATATTTAAACAAAAAAAAAAAGGCATGTTTCATTCCTTCATTCCAAACAAGCTGTCTTAATTTATACCATAATGGTGGTTAAATAAGTGGGTGTTGTTCACACTTGGACAAGCTTAAAATGTGTAGGCATTTGCATGGGCTGCAGCATGAAAGGGGAGATACAGTTCTGAGAGCCCCAGCAGAAACTGCTGGCTGCACAATCTCATAGTGCAGTTTTTCTCTGGGATAAGTATTTATATCCTGTTTTCTCAGCTCTGTAAAAACTGAGATAAAATAACATGCTTCTTTAAATGTTACTCCTTAAATTTGTGGATCAGGTGATGTGTTTGGGCATACCAGACACCATTGGTATTTAAAATGGTCACCCAAGCGATAAATTTCCTCACAGAATTGAAAGTAGGGAGAGACCTTTTACTAGAGAGAAAGCCAATACTCTGTTACTACTATTTCTCTTACTTTGCTCATTTCCAGGGTGCCAGGGCAAAAGTGATTTGTGGAGAATTAGTGGTAGCTCCCAAGCACAGCAACCAAGATGCTCCAGTGTCTGTGACCAACTGTGCTTGTGACCTGGTGGCCACGTTGCTGAGAGCACAAGGCATTTCTGCAGCATGTGGACTGGCACGCTGTGCCTTAAAATTAAGCCCTGTAAGGACACCCTTCCTGTGTAATGCAAAGAGCAGCTGATGCCGCTGCAGTCCAGCTATGTGGGGCCAGCCCCAGCCCTTCATCCTTCAGGCTGCATTTCCTTGCACGTGCAGTGTTTGCCTGTGCAAGTTACTGGTGCCACATGGTTGCTCGAGCCATGGTCCCCACCGGTCACTGGGGTGCAGGTGGGTGAAGGTGGCAGGACAGCATGCCTCCTTTTTCTGAGCGTGGCTCAGAAGTGAGGGTGCGATGCAGCTTCCAGCGGTGGTCCTGCGGCAACTGCTTTCCCAGCCAGGTGTAGCTCACCGGCTGGCTCTGTGGAGGATGGAGGAGAACTTGCCTGCCCACGATCCTGGGGTACCACATGTAGGGGGGTGGCCGTATCCATTGCAAAGAGCCGGCAGTGCAGTTGGGGCTGGTATTTCCCCATCAGTGGTGTTCAAGGGTAAGAAAAACGAGGGGCCTGATCACGGGGAGCTGCATTGGCACCCATAAAGGCAGGCAGTGTCCGAAGCCCACTTGGAGTTCTGACTGCTGCTGCGACGGTGTGTGCTGGCTTGCATTGCCCTGCCTTGCTGGTTCCTCCTCTTCTCTGGTCTTGTCGTCCAGCGCTAGGGCTGTGAGGCTGTCTGTGTGCTCTAAAGTTAACCCTCGCAAAAATTATTGAAGCAAATGTTTTTTTCAGATGCATCCTTTGAGCAAAGTTGGAACAGAAGTGACATGCAGTACACAGGGCATATATGTCCCGGACACATCCAGCAGTCAGATGTAGGTTAGCAAGTAAGACTACTTGAATTGTAAAATAAACATGCTCTTTCTGCCTGCCTCTAACAAGCTGTGTCTGGAAGAGGCAGAGTGGTCAGTGGTAGTAAACCCACTGGATGCGTCTCTCAAGGGTGAGTGGGAACACTGAATAGAGTTGCAGAAAATTTATTAATTCTGCCAGAAGTACAGTAGGAAAATGGTCCTATTTCTCTGCTGTCTTGACAATTGCTTTTCTCTTTTTTCTTGTCTGTCCTTCCCTTTGCATCTGCCCTCTTTTTTTTTATTTTATTTTTCCTTCTAGTGGGGAAATATTACCTTTACTTGTTAATCCTGTCTATATCAAAGCAATCAATGAAGCAAGGAGAATTACTGTGTGATCTGGTTCTTACACGCTGCCTACGTGCTCTTCTGTGCTCTGCATCTCATAGAAAGAAAGAGGAGCGCTGAGCCCTGCTACTGCTGCACTGGTAATGTCAAACTTCTTCCTTTCAGCGCAATGTGTTTCCATCGTGAGTCCATTGTGTCTCCACCATGCTGTTCTTGCGTGCGTGAATGTCTCAAAGTAGGACTGGCTGAAGTCAAGGAGATGATGTTTGTAAAATGTCCAGTGTGTAACAGGAGCCAGTGGAAAATGTATATTATGCTTCACCCTCCACACTCCACCCCCAGCAAAACCCAAACCCAACGCGTGGAGTAGCAGGTGTAGTATTTTTCAGATAAATCTGAGATGAGGACACGCTGCTGGGCACGCTTTTTGTAGTGCCCATTCGATGCCATGCAAGCTTGACTTCAGCAAATAGAAGGCAGCAGCGAATTTGTGGTGTCCCCCTCAGCCCCCCTCACTCCCGCCATTACCCACATGCTCTCCGGCCCCTTCAGCCATTGCCACCTTGGTGCTCAGGTCTAGTAATGAGTTTTCTCAATGCAGCTCAGCCTGTACAAATGCCCACACAGCCAGACTGAAGTTTGGGAAAGGGAAGACATAGCAAATTCCCTGAAAACCATGCAGTTGTTCAACCGTTTTCCACTGGCCCCTGGTGTTACCTGCAATGTCCTCAGTAGCGATTTTCCAGAGTGTGTGTGCGTGTGTGTGAGTGTGGAGTGGTTGGGGCATCGCACTTATTCATGTTATTTTGCAGGGGGTATTGGGACCCCCCAGGTGTGTGGACAAAGGAGGGAATTGTGCTTGGCTCCTGCTTACCCTCGCAGTGATGGGGGAAGAGAGTTTCCTCCGTGGCTGCTCTCTCCTGCTGCCTGATGTAATGATGCTGAGGTCTCAAAACACTCTCTGACACAGAAAGAGCAAGGTGTCTCCTAGTGTCTCTGTATGGCCCTGGAAATCTGTTTCTACCTGCTCATGGCCACTGGACTGTGGACTTTCACATGGACATTGTGCTTATGGTTCAGGCCGTCTTAGCTGACTTAGCTAGCAACCTCCCATTGGAGCTGATGGCTCTCTCCTAGCTGGCCAGAAACATGTATCCTCACCATTACCTCCCTGAGACCCAGCGAGTTTAGGACCCGGGTGAGAGAGATGCAGTCACGGGTCCTCTGCACTGCTGTGCTGTCTGCAGGAGGAATCACAGAGCTGCCTGCTACATGGAAGTGGGAGGCAGGACAAAATTGGAACAGATGGCTTCTTGCTAGTTTGCAAGCCCTTTAACTTGAGTGACAGTTCCAAAAACCTCAATTTTATCTGTCTGGCACTAAAAAAAGCTAGCATCCTTTGGTAGTTCTGGCTGAGCAAACCAGATTCAGCAAAGGTAAGGGATGGGATGTAAAAAAGCCTGGATGTTCTTTTGCTTGGGCTGATCATCTCCAGATGTGAGAAGGAGTCAGTGTCCGACCCTGCAGAACTGAGGCAGCAGGTTGTCCCCTTCAGCCAGTCTCTCGTGGACCAGGGAATGGGGATGGACTTGAATGTGCTGGGAGAGACACAGGGAGTAAAATCAGGAGCCAGAAACAGGTGCTGGGCACCAGTACAGAACTCAGACATGAGTAAAGTTTCAGGACAAGAGAACATTGGGAAAAAATTGTCAGGAAAGAAAAAAAAAATAGCAAAAATGTGCTTGAACTAACTCTTTTCTGGTTGAAAGCCTAGGAAATAAGCATGGAGGCTATGTCTAGAGCTTGGCTGCATTGTCAAAGCAGCAGTCCCCTGTGTGCTGCCTGGCTTTTCAGGATGATGCTCCTCTGTCCAAGCAAGTCCAAACTGATCCATTTCCTTGTGGCAAATAACAGGGAGCCTCCATGGGATGAGAAGCTGCTAAGTAGAGGCGAGGGCTGGAGGTTTCTTCAGTTCTGCTTTATCTGCTCTCTCAAGGTTTGCCTGTAGTACCATGCCCTGCACTGACCTGGAAGGGACAGCAGCACAAAAAGGAGATTTCCCAACTCTGCCTTTTTTTTTCTTTCTTTCAAAACGCTGGGGATCTGTCAGAGATGGAAGCCTGCAGCATGTTTCTGAATTTTGAGAGATTTGAATCTGAGATACTGCAAGCACACCAGCACTTCCACATTGCCTTAGGTAAAGAAGCAGCTTTCTGCAAAAGCAAAACCTCTTGTCAGTCTTTCTTTGCTCTGGTACATGCTGTAAAGCCCTGGATACCTCCTGGGACAGAAAACCACCCTCCTGCCCTCAAAGGAGTTGCAGTTCATAACAGCATTGCAAGGTTTGCTGCATGAGCTATCTGCGTGCTGTAAAGTTACTCAGAAATTGGCTTCGAGAGGGGTTCTTGTTTTCTTTTTTGGTTGTCTTCATTTTTTTTTCACCTAAGCCTTTAAGATCCCACAGTGTGAAGCTGTGTGGCCATTTGGGAGGAGAGCAGCAGTGGCCATGTGAAGTGTTTGCTGTGTGTCTGGTCCCTCTCCATGCATGGTGCCCCAGCATGGGCTCTGCTGGGGTCTTGTGAGTGAGGCAGCAGGAGGGGTCCTGTACACTCTTGGTCTGGTCACTGTGCTGTGCTTTGGGTTTTTTCGGGGAGAGGTTTAAAACCACAGCTCCTTGTAGCATTGTTAATTCCTAAGTGTCACCCAGAGGAGCTAGAGGCTACCTGAAGGTATGGCTTAATTATGGCTGAGCCTCTGCTGGTAACAAAACCAGTGTGAAGGGCCCTTTGCCTTGAAACTTCATTATGAAAAAAACAGCCAAATGTTGTGAAAAGAGGACACTCTCATAGACTGGACCCAGCAGGTGCTTTGAGGTGTGAGCACATCGCACTTTGCGCCAGCACCGGCAATATTCCCCCTTGGGACTATGGAGCCAGGCCCAGGTTTGGTGCCATGGGACCTGAGGAGCGCTCGGCAGCTGGGGCTGGGCAGCCCCCTTCGCTGCGGGAAGAAAACCCTCCGATCTCACAGCCTCAGCCTCTCCCTCTCCCGAGCCGCTTTGTTCGACTTGCCTTCATTTTCTGCACTCAAGTTTTCATTGCTCTTGCTATGCATGATGGTGATCATCTTCCCACCACCTTAGTTATTATGTGAACCCTTTTGTTTTGGGTGAGGATGCTGAGAATTTGCTCAGATCCTCCTCCACGAAAGCTCACTCCTCCCTGTGAAGTCATTTATGCCTGAGGCAGGTGATGAATGCTTTTGAAAACCTTGGTTTGACACTTGCATGTTAAAACCTTAATTTGAAAGATACTTGTGGCTGTTTCAAGAACCTGTGTTGGCTCTCCAGCTGCAGATCCATTAACCAGTCTGGATTAAACAGTTTCCAAACTGTTTATTTATTAACCAGGCAAAGCCATTTGGGAGGAGGTGGTGTTTTAAGCTGCTGCTCCTTGGGCACAGTATTTTAGCCATCCTTGATTTGTGTGCCATGCAGTGTGTGGGTATTGCAGGGTGGGGGGATGGCTTGCATGGTGGGGGAGTCCTTTGGCTCAGCAGTGCTTAGAGGGTGTGGAGGGGGAAAGGTGGATGTGGTAGAAGAGAAAGGATTTGGTAGTGTTGGTTTCCAGGCTGGCAAAAAACTGCAGCCTCGTTCAGTGATGCCCTGTGCGTTTCCTTCTGCCTGCTCTGTTCCCCTGCATAAGGTTTGGGTTTGAATCTGCTGCTGCAAAGTTAGGTCCTGGATTGGAAACCCTTACTCTCAAACCACTGGTGTTCTCCGGGTTGTGGGTATGATCCTGTAGTTTTCCGAAAGTACTTGAGCAATTTGCGAGCCCATACTTGTGCTCAAAGCCATGTATGCTTTTGAAGTGTTTCCACCTGAGAGAGGCCAAACTGATTCTGCTCAGGTGCCTCATTTCTTGGGAAGGAGAGCGGAGATTTTCCTGCCCCACTCTCTGCAGGTCCTTTCATTAACTGTGCCTGCCCTGGGATAAACGTGCCCTGCAGTGGTGTCAGCTCTTTTCAGGTCCTTCCCGTCATCGTGACAGCCCTCCTGGCTTCATTTTCCTGGTGAGGCCACCGGGAAAGACGGTGGGTCATGCTGTGCTCTGGCTGGCAGAGGAGCAGCAAAGAAGGAGCTGCGCACTGCGGCGGACGGCAGCATCCGGCACACAAGCTGTACCCCTTGCAAGAAGCAGCTCGCGCCCGCCTCCCATCCAAGAACGCAGCCCCCCCCAGCCTGCCATCCAGTACACAAGGCTGTGCGTCACATCCACGTGCCGAACCGGCAATGTCCTTTCCAAGGCCTTTGCAAGGAGAGTGTCCTGCTCCCGTGCATGCACAACTGCCATGGGCTTGGCATGGGAGCAGGGGCAAGCGGCAGAGCGGCATGCCTTAACTCCTGCTGCCACCCCATGCTTTGCAAATCGGGTCTGGGACGTGCTCAACGCGTGCTGCTCAGCAGAGGCCATGCCACAGTCTCACAGCCACATTGTGGCAAAGCTTAGGAAGAGGGTGCTGAAATCCTGGCCACAGAAAGGTTTTGGTCTGTGGTTCTTGTCCTGGCTATAGGCTAAAGCATCACCAAAGTTTCTCTCTGTAGCAAGGGTCCCTTCTTCCAGAGCAGCTTGTCTTTCTTTGCTTTTATCTGCTGCTCTGAGAAGCCCCAGCTGCTTGCCCTGGTGGTCCATAAACTTCATCACAGAATTCAATCCTGTAAATGCCTGTGCATAGGGTGGGTTGGGGGAACCACTCCCCATCAAACTTGCCCTCTTGGAGCCTCCTGCTGAGAGCAGGGCTGAGCTAGGTCCACCGTTTCCTCAGCCATTTCAGCTGCCCCTGTGGTTTGCAGCTGGCTCGGATGCTGTCGTCCTGTCGGCGGCATCCCGGGGGCAACTTGCTGCAAAGGTCCTGTGGGTGCTATGGGGGGAGCGCTCGGGATTGAGCTTAGTCTGTCACAGGCACATCAACCCAGTGGAGCGACACCGGTGTCCAGCAACAGGTAAGAAACTGCTGATGTCAGCTGATAAATTTAAGTCACTTAACTGTTTTTATTTGTTTTTAAATTAGGATGGAGAAGAAGAATTTAACCGTGCTAAACTGCTGAATATAGGATTCACAGAGGCTTTGAAAGAGTATGACTATGATTGCTTTGTGTTTAGTGACGTAGACCTCATCCCAATGGATGACAGGAACACCTACAAATGTTACAGCCAGCCACGGCACCTCTCTGTATCCATGGATAAATTTGGATTTCGGTGAGACGCCTTTTTGAGGGGCACTTTGTTCCTAATACCGCTGTTAGCCCAGTGGGCCAGGTGCAGTGTTACACATCCCCACCCACCATTGAAAGCATGGGAAAATGTCTCTCGCAAAAGCCTGTCTTGGCGTGCGTGTCCCTGCAGGGAGCGGGTGGCTGCGAGCAGAATCAGCTGGAGGGGAGGAAGGGGGAGAAAGGAAGCTGAGCAGTTTATTAAAATTTACAGCTTCTGGAAAGTGAAAGGTAGGGTGAGGAAAAACTAAGAGCCCATCGTTTTGCAGATGCCTGCATATCCCTTCTTGTGTTTCAGGCTGGAAGCTGGAAGACAGCTAGTGTTTCCACCCAGTCTGAAAAGTGAGACACTCTCACACAGTAAGATTATGTGCAGCTTTAAAAAGACTGCATCAGACACTATTTTAAGAGCAAAATGAAATATTTTTGGCTGTTCAATTTTGGGCCAGTGAGGGACCTGCCCTGGTATCTGAGAACAACACAAAATTAAATGTCTTTCAGCATACATTTGAGTTCAGCAAGCTGCTGTAAATAAAAATGTGTCTTGCTTTTCCTTTCCCTTTTTTAAATTTTTTTTTTTCCTTATCCCAAATCCCCAAGCAGGGGTGTAAAACCTCATCTATAAAGTGAAAACCAGTTGTGACCCCATGGTAGTCGGTAATGCTAAAGATACAGCAGTGGTGTTGGTGGCAGGACCTCTGCACATCTCTGCTCTAGACCCAAGCCCTGCTCAGAGCAGGACTGTCGCCGGCACTGCAGCAGCTGCAGTTTTTTCTTGCAGCTAGGTGAAGCTTAGAGCAGAAATGTAGGCCCCAGGGGTTTCATCTGCTTGTGGAAACAGAGACAAGGTCTATGGTAGGTCCTGGTGATCCCTGCGTGGGCCCTCTCCTTGTGCTGTGGCTCTGAATTTCATCTGTCCCTAGTCCCCTGGGTGAATTGCCCCCCATTTGAATGGGAGCTGGTTGGCTTTGTGCGTGCAGGGTCATGCTGCTGGCACAGTTTTGGGCTGCGAGCTTTCTTTTGGGGCACTGGGGAGCATGGAAGCGAGTGGTGGAGCTGCAAGAAGACAAGGCTCTGTGGCACCTCCAATGCTTTGCTCAGCTCTTGCTGCTCCTGGGGCATGCATGTCACCCATCTGTCCTTTGGCAAGGTGATGTGCATCTTACTGGCCTGTCCTTTGAGGACAGTGTACTTCTTGGTGAAAGGCTGCAGCTGTTGGCAGTTGCAGAATACTTCCCAGCTGCATTTGAGACCAAGCCCACCAGCTCCCTCTGCCTCAGCCGAGTCCAGGGCATCAAAACACGTGCTGCTCCCTTTTCAGGTGGGCAGGCTGCTCCTTGGCTAGCACTTCTCCTCCTCTAAATGTCCTTTTCTCTCTGCTTCCAGGTTGCCTTACAATCAGTATTTTGGAGGTGTGTCTGCCTTGAGCAAAGAGCAGTTCACAAAGATCAATGGCTTCCCAAACAATTATTGGGGCTGGGGTGGCGAAGATGACGACATTTATAACAGGTAAATAAGTATCTCCCTTGGCACCTGGAGTGCCTCCAGTGTGGAGATGAGCACAAACCTGCTGCTTTTACCCGGATGTGGTGGGGCACGGGGTGTTTTTGACCCTGACCACGGGAGCCTGCCCTCTGGGTGGGGGATGGAGGTGGCACACAGACGACCCGCTGGCTCAGAGAAAGTGTGTTCCTGCTGGATGCTGGCACCCCATTTCATAGCTCCCGAGGTGTGCTGGGAGTGGGTCTGGCTGGAAAAATCCCACCCCTGCCCCACACATGCATTGCTGATTTGCTGCACAGCCTTGCAAAAGCATCCACGCCAGTGCGCGGGTTGGAACAGCGAGCTTCTGGGTCTTCCAGCACTGGCCGAAAGGAAGGGGATTTGGGGTGCGTGGTGGGGTGGAGAAGACCTTGACCCACCTAGCCCAGTGCAGCCGAGGCTTGCCTGGGTCTGCAACCTGGTAGCGGATCCCTTTGTTCCCAGGAGAGCTTCATTTGTCAGGCTGTAAGCGGCTCCAAATAACGCTGTGAGCCATCGCTTCCTGCCCGGAAGGAAGCCGAGCAAGGCTCAGAACTGCAGGAGAGGAGGAAGGTGTTTGCACAGGGCAGGCTGGGACCACTCCTGCCTAAAGAGGGGGGCAGAAGGTGGACGTGGGGTTGTGCTACCTTACAGCTTTGCGTCCCCAGGACAGTCACTGTGAGAAAATATCATGGGGAGCTCAGATTTGGGAAGCCCTCATCATGTTTTGCGATGGCAAACCTGCTGTGCGTGGTCTTTTCTCTGGGCTTTCTGAGCTCTTCTGTGTGGTCTTTTCTCTGGGATTTCTGAGCTCTTCTGGGCTTCAGGAAGGGTTTTCTTAAAAATGCTTGTACCTTCCTGAAGTTCAGTAGTTCTGTTTAATAAACCAAGTAAGGGACCACCTTCGAGTGGGGCAGGACATTCAGAGCAAGGTGGTAGTCCTTCCGCTCTTTTTGGGGCACTCTGGTTTTGAGGAGCAGAAGATGCTACATAGAAATTAAAAGGAGACACAAAGGGGAAGAAACTAGGTACTTTTCCAGCATCAGTGTCCATGAACTGAAGATGCCTTGCAGAGACCATGCAAACAAAGACAAGGCTACCCCTCACCCAGCGTGTCCCAACTGGGACCACTGTGGCTCTGACCGTGTGTCCCCCTCATGCTGTCTCAGCACCATTCACTTCACTTTCAACCAGCACTGCAGCTTTCACATCCCCAAAAAATGAATGTTCTTCTGGCTTCTTTCCAGGTGGGTTAAAAACTAGATGCCTCCCATTCAAATTCTAGTCTACAGCCTGGAGCAAGGTTAATGGGGGCGTTGGGCGTGGAGGAGCTGGCAGTGCAGGTGAGGGTGCGGTGAATTCGCAGATCCTTGGTCTTGGCAGGGGGATGTCTCTTTTCCCCATGCTGATCTGCTCCTGTGGAAAGGGGCTGGCTTTCCCCCCTTTTGGTGTTGGCAAGCCTGCAAACGCAGTAGTGACATCCTCAAAAAGAAGGCAAAACCCCTAAAACCAATGGTCATTTGTGGAAGGTGTGGCAGAGCATCCCACATCCGTCGCCTGTCACAGGTGTTTAATGTACTTCCTTTTTTACAGGCTGGTGTTTAAAGGCATGGGGATATCCCGACCAGATGCTGTCATTGGGAAGTGCAGAATGATTCGGCATTCCCGGGACCGGAAGAATGAACCCAACCCCGAGAGGTGCGTCTCACCCCGTCCCACAGCAGATTCAGGGGGCACCTCCTGCCCATGCTGCTCCGGCTGCTTGGCTTTCTATTTGCCATGCACAAAGCCCGATTGCAGAAAGCCTGTGGCCATCTCCTCTCTTGGTGACCTCTCTGTCCCCTGCACCGTAAGCTGCCCCCTTCCCCTTGCCCGTTTATTACCTTATTACAGACTTTTCCCCCAATATTTCACTATGGCACAGATACATCTTGCCTTTTTTTTTTTTTTTTTCCTTAAATACAGCAAATTAAGCTCTGAGGAATTGTGTCCAGCTTGTCTTTGGCATATAAAACCTATGCTATAGTGCAGAGCTGGAAAAGGACTTGTGTGATTTACAAGCTTGGCTGCTTTTTCATGGCTAAAATTTGACCCCATAGGGATGCCTTTGCCCACTGCTCAGGCTGGCCGAATCTGTGAGTCTATGGGACCCATACTGATACTCAGGTTGTTCTTAAAACACCAGAGATGCCTCCTGGTCATGCGAAGTTCGGGTTGTTTAAACTTTTTTTTTCCCTTTATTTTTTCTTTCCTTTTTTTTTTTCCTCCCCTTTCCCTTCCGCAGGTTTGACCGAATTGCGCATACAAGGGAGACAATGAGCTCTGACGGCTTAAATACACTATCCTACAAGGTGTTAAGAACTGACAAGTACCCTCTGTATACAAAGATCACAGTGGATATTGGCTCGCCAAATAGCTAACATCACAGACACAAGAGACACCATGCCTATGTTGCCCAGGACATCTGGCCTCAAGGATGCTTTATATCTGCTGGTTTTATAACAGTTGCAATGAACAACAAAAAAAGGCCTCTTTTGGCATGCCAAAGCGTCTCCAAATTTATTGGACACATCATTTTTTTCCTTTTTTTTTTAATTCCAAACTTGACTTTACACAACTTTCTAGCTCTCCATTGTTTTGTAAGTCCAGAAGCTGTACATAAGAGTTGTAAATATTTACTTTGCCAGAAAAAGTTGAATCTGATCTATTTGCTGCAGCGCTCCACATGTTGAGTTAATTGCTGGACCCAAATTTTACTGGTTACAACTGTGATGCATCAGCAATTACTGCCCATGATATTTGGTATTTTAAATGAGGTGGATGAAAACATTCCTTTTAATTCATTCCTAGTTTTACTTTTATGAAGGACTGTAAAATGCTGCTAAAATTGTACAAGTTTACGCTTTGCATTAGATTTTTCTTTTAATGGAGACAACATCATGATGTGGGTTTTTTTTAGTGACCGAAACAAACATCTTCTCTGTGTGCAGTGCAAATGTTGAACACAAGTCTGGATTCAACGAATGTTATTATTTCTTTTAGTCTCAAAGGAGGCTTTGAGTTAGTTGAGCCAGAGTTTGCCAGAATTTGCCAGTGAACTCTCTGTATAGGGTGGCAGCTATATAGATGGCATCTGCAAAACCCACTGGCTTCAGATAACCTTACTTCTGGATGTGATAGTGACTTTTTTCCTCAGCACACCACCACCTGGGGTTTTGGGGGCGGGGGGGGCAGAGTGGGCTGGTTGGTTTGTTGTTTTTTTTTTTTTCCTGAAATAAAGACAAATTAATTGAATTGTACAATGAAATTATGGCCTTAAAATTTGCTGACACTTGTTAACAGTGGTAGAAAGTTACCACACTATTTAAACATTGTCCGAAGCTTCCTAAAACCGACATTTTTCTTGCAAGTTCATGCATAAAACTTGAATTCACTTAATACTTTTGTTGTTGTTGTAACTTTTTAACAACTTTTAAAAGTAATTTGTATATCATAAGCAGTATATTTAATACCAGATTAAACTAGGGTGCAGCATAATAGGATATGATTCAAAGCCTCCTTTACCTTCAGACTCATAGGCTTTTTGTGTGTGTCATTATATATAAGCCATGTATTATATTTGCTCTGCATATTTGTCCATGAAATCTCCTGCAGTGCTGAGATATTCACAGCAGGGCTGACATCCAGTCGATTTTTCTTTGCCTGGAGCCTCTTGCAATGTGTATCCTCTGTCGGGAAACTCCCTTCTGATTTTCTCAGGCTTTGAGGGACATGCACATTTTGGAGTACTACTTTTTGTCAGCGCACCAGGGCACCACCTGTATAGACACCCTGCTTTTCCTTCCCATGACTATATGAAAGCCTCAAGCGCTGACACCCTCGGAGCTGGTTTAAGTGATTCAAAGCTCTCGGCCAGAACTGAGAACTGAATTGCTTCTGGTGAGTACTTTGCTACCAGCTCTGACCACAGCAATTTGCACTTCCTTGGCCTGTGCTGAAGGCTGTTAAAATCAGGGACGCTTATATTGGGGATCATCTTCAGCACTGCCTCTTTTTTTTTCTTTTTTTTTTTTTCTTTTTTTTTTTTCTTTTTTTTTTTTGTTGGTTGGTTGTTTTTTTGCCTTTTTTTTTTTTTTTGAGACGTTTTGCTGAACCCTTGCACTGCAGGGGTGGGATCCTGCAGGGGCTGGGGGACAGTGCATTTCTTCTTGGCCCAGCAGTGGCTCAAAGTATGCATGGAGACTTTAATTACTAGGGAGACACTCAGCTGCCTTTTCAGTCTCACTTTCAAAAAGCATTCACCCCCTTCGCTTAAAAGGTCTTGTTGGCCAGACTTGTTACTTCAGTCATCCTGGGAACTGAGCGAAGGTGGACTTGTGTGAAGCAGGAGTGAAGCGCAAGGAAGCAGACTTCTCTTTAAGAGCTGCTATCTTGTGCTTATTGTTGCATTAAAAAAATTACTCCTTTTTGGCAGGTCTGGCTCCAGCTCTTGCAGATACAAGGGGGTACAAGAAGAGGATGTGTTACAGAAATCAGGAAAAATGTCTACCTGTAAAATATCGGTGTAGCTGTAGTCTGCACCAATAATGGAGACACAGGCAAGAACTTTATTTTTTTATTTTTTCAAAGGTGCCTTAGAGGCAGGGCCCCGCTCCCACAGTTAGCAGATCAGCACCAAAACTCATCGAAGCTCCACTGAAAATGCCAGGTCTCTGCAGAGAGCACCTCGATTTTGCGCTGAGCCTTTTCTAAGTCAAAGAGCGGGGACCTTCAGCTGTAGTGGTGTCTGTCTGCTAACAGCCTATGCAAAGGGGCTACCTGTTGTAATTGAGTGGTTGGTTTGGGTTCTGGGTTTTTTTCCTTGCCTTAGGATTCTGTGAAGATTAGAAAAAAGTTAGTGTAACAACTTGTCATTTCGCTGTGTGCTGAAATCATTGAATATCACGGACGTGGTCTGAGCACTTGTTTCTGGCTGTTGCAATCAAAGGTTTCTACACATGTGCCTTGAAAGAGGGGAGAAATGGAAACTGGAAAACCTGGAAACCTGAAAACCATTTTCAGCAGAGAGACATCAGCGACGCAAGGAACTGTCGCTTAGTTTCTCTTTTACTGCTAAAGCCACAAGCCACGTAAAAGCCAAAGCTGCCTTTCGTTGCTTGTTTCACCCTTCGGTGCTGACCCGTGATTTCCAGATCTTATTGTCCCTGTGTAAACTGTATTGGTCAAATTCACAAAAAGTTCTTGAGTCAACCTGGCCATGAAATTTCTCTCCCTGGGATTTTCAGGAGCCTTTTCTACAAACGCTCATGTTGCACAGAAATTAATTCTGGCCATGACCTGTGGTGGGTGCTCTTTTTTCCTCTCCTGTGCTGGTAGCAACACTCAAAGTGATACTGTGTGTAATGGTTGAAACCCAGAACAAATAGCTGCAAAAGAAACGCAAACGGTTGGTTTCCTTGGCATGATTGTTTGCTTGTTAGGATGAGGCAGGGTCCTGGCATGCAGCTTTTCCCGGGGACGTTAACTTGTATGCTGGACTGCTTTATGGGTTTCCTGTAAATGGTTTTGCTTTTGCATTTTTCTCATTTATATATCAAGGGATGTATAATCTGGTGTTACTACTTTACTATTGATGTCAAATAAAGTATTTTCAGCTATGATGTCTGGCAGCATTACTCTGAATTACCCCTCTGGCTGGCTGGGTTTCTGGCTGATGGGGTGGACTGCACCATGGCTTAGCCTCCTTGCATTAACTTTCTCCAGCTTTTCACACCTCTGGCTTCCTCCCCCCCCCGCCCCCCGCCGAATTTCTCTCTCTGTACTGCAAAATTTTTACCGATGTTAGAGAAGCAGATCCAAGAGTCCCCAGATGACACCAGAAAACCGCAGGGTGGTTTGTTGACCTGTGGGTAGGGGGACAGCATGCAAACCCTGAAACCAGGCAGGGGTTCCAAGCTCTCACCCAAGCTGTTGGCTGCTTGGGGGAAACAGGCTACTGCTTACTCCCAGGGTGCTTGTGGGTTTGGCTAGAGTGTGGAAATGGAGAAGGTATTCCTGGGAAACTGATGCAAACACTTGCCAGTGTTCCTTGGCACTTTCTCAGGAAAAGTTTCCATGGAAGAGATCTTCCTGGTTGCAAGACTGTGGCTAAAGTTAGGCAGCTGGTGTGAGGTCCCCAGTGCTCTGCAGGGAAACTTAAGCTTGTTCCCAACTGGGACCAGCTACCAGCCTCTGGGGCCCAGGCTGGCACAGTGGGCATGACACCCGCAAGCCCCTACAGTTGCTTGGAGGCATGCTCTGAAGACCATACTGACAGAGGGCTCTGGAAGAGGACACTGGCCTTTACCTGTTTCATCCCTCCAGGGCTGGCTGCTGGGTCACTGGGGACAGTGCAAGAGCATCATTTTATGGAAGTTCCCAGCAGACTGGGGTGCAGCAGAGGGCTTGGAGAGGGATGTGGTGAGGGAGGTTAAGTGGTCCCTGTGGCATCTTTCTTTGGCTTTTGGACCCTGAAAGGCATTGCACAGGAATTGGTGTTTTCTTCTCATGGTTCAAAGTTTGGTATCTACAGGCAGAAAAATGTTCTAAGAGGGACCTTCCATTTTCTTCTACTTCTGTCCCCAGAGAGTCGAGCTGTTCCTCCCCTCTTCTGCTCAGGTGGGTGAGGAATAGGCAGGAGTCACACAGCTCAGTGGCTGGAAGAAGCCTCGTGTGAAAATTATGTCCCTTGCTGAAAGCAGCAGCTGAGAAGTGTCAGTAGGATTTCACCTTTCTCCCCACTGGTTACCAAGGCTTCCTTGGGTCAGATCAGCATGTGGCTTGTAAAGGATCCCTTGACTCTTTTGCTGTGAGACCATACTTGCTCTAGCAGATCTTCCTTTCCCACCTCCAGCTACGCCTACCTGCCAACAGCCAGGATGGGTGAGCAGAGGTCTCTGACATTTATCCCATGCTTACACCACTACATGTTCCTGTTCTCCAGTCCATGGGGAAAAAAAAAAAAACCACACACAACAAATAAGATGCTGTTGTTAGAAGGAAGAAAAGGACTAAGCTGGAGTTTGCTGACGCCTTTCACCCCCTTGGAAGGAGTGTGAAGTGGGTGTGCTTGCCCTTTGCTCTTGCTCTGTGTCTTAGCACAGCAGTGCTCACACTAGATCCATTTGTATTTGCCTATGTCCTGTTTGCGCACTTGAGGACGATGCACCAGTACAAGACCTCTGTTTTCTGTCTACCCGAGGCGGCAGCCCTGCTCCTAGAGCCTGTTTTCCATCCTCTGCTCTCCATACTACAACCAGCAACACAGATGAGCGCACAGAGACAAGATCTCTGCAGAGTCAGAGCTGACTGACTTCTCAAGCCTCCAGTAGAGCTTGCAGTGAAGAGCTGAGTGGGGAAAGCAAGGGGCTGGGGTTAAGTCCAAAGCCTGGACCTGTGGACTCTTCCTGGTTACCTTCCTGCCCTTCACATACTCTCCCAAGAAGTCTTGCTCCATGATTTTTCCAAAGATGAAGGTGTTGCTTACAAACTACTGTTTCCCAGATCCTTTTCCTTGCCCTTCTTAAAGAT